ATCTGCCCTTGAGTACGATGGTGTGCTCAATTTATACTTTTCCCCTACTTGAAATTGGGCAGGTGTGGCCCCAGGGCCACGAGTAAGTGTGCATTCACAGCATCAGTCAGTGATGCTCATCTTAGTGTTTCATATTTTATCACCTGCTCCCCTGGAAAGAAGAGGTGATCAGAGAAGTAAGGTTAATTTGCATCCACCTCAGCCATAAATCCAGGAGGACCAGGCAGCTACTGCACACCCCTAGGACCTGACGGCAGGTGCTCAGCAGCACGAGCCCCTGGGCCTCGGAGTCAGACCCCCAGGTCTGCCCAGCTCATCTCGGCTTATGGGGCTCAGAAACGGAAGCCCAGGGACTCAGAGCGGGAGCTGGTTTGGTCTTGATGGGTTAGCGTCCTCACACCCGGTGGGGAAGATATCTGCTCATCTTCATGGTGCAGCCCAGATAGGAACCAGGAGTCAGGACTCCTCTATGCTACAGCAAAAACAAAAAACAAAAAACCAGAAAGCGATCTTCCACAACAGTCTCTCTTGATTCTGATGTTCCTTTCCGTTTCCAAAGCTGATGACAAAGACCTGCACATTTTTGAGTCACGTTGACCTGGTTTGGCCTTCTGGCTCTGCCGCTTTCCAGCTGTGCAAATTGAGCTGAGCTCAAATCACTCTCGGAGCCTCAGCCTCCTCACCCGTAAAGTAGGTGTGTTGCTATCTGCATCAGAAGGGTACCGTGAGCATTTAGGGAAGTCATGAATGCTGAGTATTTAGTGGAGGGTCGGGTCCCATCAGTGAGCGGGTGTCTGCATACCAGGTGGCTCCCTGTGGATGAAAGGCTCTGCTTTTGAGTGGTGACCAGCTGCTCTAGTGTAAATACTCTCACCACAGCTGACCTCAAGCTATCAACGTTGATCGCTGAATGCGGAGTTGGGAAGAGATGAATTGTAGCATGGCCTTTATATACCGCTCCCATCTGTCGACTGAAGGAAAACGCACAACCTAAAAGTTGAGAGTTAAATTTTATTGGGGACTTTACTGAGAACTGTAGCCCAGGAGATAGCCCTTCAGATGGCTCTGAGGAACTGCTCCACAGAGGGAAGGTAAGAGCCAGGATGTATAGGAGTATGAGGCTGGAAAAAAACATGTAGTGGAACATCAAAAGATGACTGCTAATCACACACAAAAAAAACAAAGAACAAACAAACCAAAAAACCCAGACATCGCAAGCTAATGATGTCAGATGCAAGGGTCTGGGCTCATTGAAATTGCTCCTTTGATGTGCACCTTAACTATCTAGGGCCAGCATCCAAAGCACAGAATACTTCCTGTTTTTCTCCATCCTGAACTCTCCTCAGGCTGCTCCACGGGGGTGGGGGGTTGATGGCTTTGTCCTCATAGCAGATTCTTTGTTTCCCGGAACGAAAGGCAGTGTTCCCTGTCAGCACGTCACACAGCACAACAGAAGCAAATGACCTCCAAAGCAGGGATGACAGTCAAACACAGAAGAACAGTTAGGGAGTGATGAGTATCCATTACTCTTGCATTTTGAGCATTTATTACCTTTGTTTTAAATAAAATTTTATTTAATTTTAAGTTCACATAATTAACATTTTCCTGATGGCTGTGTTTAGCAACCGGCTCACGAAACTCCTGAAATATTTAACCATCTGCCCTGGCAAGCCAGGACAATCCCACATGAGCCAGCTCCAGCACACGGGCTGGGCACACCTGTAGGTGGGCAGTAAGTCTGACTTCCCCTCTGACCCAGAGGACGTCGCCTCTGCGGGGCTGAGGGGCCACGGGAGGCTAGAGGAAGGCCCTCTGAGGCTCAAGGGTGGACCGGAGGTCTATTTTAGGATGCACGGCCAGCAAACTGCGCTTTGGCAAGTCGGAGCCTATAATTAGCCTCCGCTTGAGGCTCCAATAGAGCCCCGGCTTTTAACTAAACAACAGAAAAACCAGGGAGGCCCCCAGCTTCCCTGAGCCCAGAGCTGCCTGGGCCTCCGGACAGACACTGGGCTGAACTACTCCATCTGCTGGGCAGCACTACTCCATCTGCTGGGCAGCATCCAAAGGGTCCCAGACAGCCTCCTGTCCTCAACCCCGAGGGACAAGGCGGAGCCAGGACAGAGCCCCAGCCTCGCCCCCCTCACCTCGGCGCAGCCTGCGTTTCCCACCCCCTCCCTCGCCGGCAGCCTCTTATTTATGAGGAGTCTGCGGTCCGCTGGGGAGACGTTACAGATTCACAAAGGCCACGCCAAAAGGCAGCACAGCCAAGCGCTAGCGTGTTTACTCTGGACAGCGGGACGTAGGTGGCTGCGTTCCCAGCCATCTTTCTGCTTTTCCAGAATTGTGTGCCTCTGAATGCAGTTCATCTATTCCGCCCCTCCCCCACTCCAGGTTTGGTTTTGCTTTTTACTTTTTCTGTCCACCCCCTGGGTTCCAAGCTTTTAACAGCAGAAACAAAACGAAGCTGTACCCAGGTGAAGAGTTTAAGCCTCAAGCTCCCTGACGTGCACACCCTCCTCTGCATTAGTAATTTTTGATTCTTTTTCTTAAAGGCCATCTCCCAAATGGCACACGTGCCAGGCCATCCCTGCCCGCATCTGGCCCTGCACAGCCACCTAGTTGGTCTAGAGCACCTTCGAAGCCGTCTGCTCCGCAGCGGTGGGTTTTGAGCCCACAATCTGGACACCTGTTATGACTCGGGGTCCCACACGAGGGCATGATTGTGAGAAATCAAGCAGGGTAATTGCCTTGGGCTTCAAATTTGTCATCTGTAAAATGGCATCGCTGAGTGTCCGAAGACTAGGAAAGGGGGATTCTGAATGTGAGGGCGGCAATGTATGAGGAGGACGTAGAGGGGGTTCGGCCAGGCAGCCAGAGGTCCTCAGAGAGGTCTCAGGTAGCCAGAGCCCTTGAATGAACTATATTCAGTGATGCTAAGTGTAGTTCCTTGTTTTCTGCATTCTTGATTCCCTGCAGCTGGGCCTCAGTGACAAGGAGGGACTTCCCCATGCAGGACTAGCAAACCCTAGAGGCAGTGACCACTTACTGTGAGAGCATCTTTGAGGCGCAAACCAACCAATCCCAAGTCAGTGCCCCAGCCCTGACTCCCTGCCTCCCCTCTCTGGCTCTCACACTCCAGGAGGCAACATCCCTCTGCCCTAGTCACCCCCAGACCGGGTACCAGACAGCTAGGAACCATCCCTTCAGCCCAGAGACCGCAGAAATTATTCAAACCAGCCAATCCCAGCTGCTTACCCCACCTCGCCCATTCCTTCCCGTGAAAACCACAGCAAAGCCTTTAGCCCCTGTTTTCCCCTCAGCCCTTCTGCTTCCTGACCACCCCTGGTCCTTCCCAACATGGCCCTGTGTGGTGTGGCTGCCCCTCCTCATGGGTAACAAAAGATCTTTTCAACGTCAGTCATAACCTGATCTGCTGGCCTCACCATACCTGAATAAGAGCAGGGTACATTTTAAAACACCCTTTGTGTGGGGCTTCCAGAAAATGACCTCCAGACCTGGGATGGGGGAGGCTGGGAATGGCTCACCATGGTCACACCATTCATTCATGCATGCCTTCATTCGACGGGTGTTGATGGAATGTCCATCACACGCAGAGCTTGGGGACATAGCAACGAACAAGGAGCTGACCCTGGGGAAGGGCCATGTCTGTGTGGTGGATGAGGGGTCTGCTGGGGGAAGCGAGGGAGCACAGGGTGGGCACGTCCCAGCTACGGCTGGGAAAAGTGATGGCACTCCCCCGTTCCAGCAGGGTCATCCTCTGCTGTTTGTCTGTTTCGTTGAATTTCCCGCTAGCAACCTCATCTTCACACACTGGGGAGGCAGCACCTAGGGTCCCTCCCTCTCCCCATCCTTTCCATCTCTCTCTGGTCTATGACCTCTGGTGCTGGAAGTCGTCCACCGAGTCAACGAAGAACTTGCTGCTCACTGACATTCAAGTGCCAAGGACTGATAAGACCTTAAAACAGTGATTTGCATCCTTCTTTTTTCAAATTGTGTATATTCTTATCAAACATGATTTACATATAGTAAAACACAAATCTGAAAGATAGTGCTTAACAGATTTTTGGCACTTATTTATCAGTGTAATCACCAGATCCAGACAGGGAACGTCTTTATCGTTCCAGAAGGTCTCCCCAGATTTGCTGATCCTTCTTGTAAAGTAACAGTTATTTTATCCCTGACCCCAAGCTGAAGACTATAGAAAAGCCAGGATGTAAAAAATATTTTTAAAGGAAGCTTCTCGGGTTAAGAAGAGAACCATCCCCCCCACTGCCCACCTGAAGGGTATTGGGGGCCAAGTTAGAGAAATCATTCTTCTGGGCTCCATGAAACCCCAGAGCTGTATGTACAGGGTTTATATCCACATGCATGTTTTGAGGCTGGACAGAATTCTAGAGCCGTGCTGTTCAGCACAGTGGCCACTGGCCACCTGTGGCTATTTAAATTTAAATTTAAACTTATTAAGTTTCAATAAAATTAATGTTCAGTTCTTTAGTCTCCTTTACCACCTTTTGAGTGTTCAGTAGCCACATGTGGCCACCATCTTAGAGAGCGCAGATACAGAACAGAAAATTCTGTTGGACAGCACTGGTCCAGAAATTTCATCAGCTTCTCAAAGGCATCCATGGCCAGAAATGGTAAGAGCCACTAAATCAAGCCAGTGAAACTTCATTTAAAGAGCCAGAAATTTTGCTGGAGGGACGAAAGCTCATCATTGTGACAGGCTATGAGCAAGTCTGTCTTGGCTAATCTTTTTGCTCCAAAAATCCAACCCCAAAAGCTCTTAAACAATATCCAGATTTTATGCTTTATTGTCCATCTCCTCCCCCTTTATTAGAAAGGGACACTTGAATTCTAGAAATATTTGCCGTGAGAAAGGTGCTCTCAGTTCCCCAGAGCCTCTGTGCCCAGCGCTGGGGGCAAGGGGGAGCAGGGGAGGCATTGCAGTGAACTTGTCCTTTGGTGTGTGGTCGTTCTAGGTGGGCGAGGCTGTCTTGGAAAACGCGAGGCTCATGCTGCAGACGGAGAATATCCAGGCGGGCGCAGACGACTTTAAGGAGAGGTAACACTCCGCAGCAGAGGGGACCGTCCCTCGGCGCTCCAGACTCCTGGGCCACTCGGGTAATGCGGCTCCCAAGTCCGCAGCACTCACCTCCAGCCTCGTGGAAGGCTGGGGGGAATGACAGAGGTCCCAGGCGAACCCAGAGCTGAGATGGTCTGGCTCAAACCCTCCTTGGAGACATAAACTGGGTCTCAGGGCCTCAGAGATCTTGCCAGCGTCACTGGGTTTAGAGCAGGGGTCTCAAAACCTCATGTGCATCAGAGTCACCCGAGGTGCTGAAAGAAAACGCAGACTGCTGTGCCCACCCTCAGAGCTTCTGATTCAACAGGTCTCAGGAGGGACCCAAAACTTAATGTTTCTAACAAGTCCCCAATGATGCTGATCCTACGGGTCCCAGGAACACACTTTGAAAACTACTGGTTTAAAGCAATACATCTCAGTGTAGGGACTATATATTGCAGTTACATGTGCACTTAAAAATGCCAGCACACAACCCCCACAGACTAGTTAAACCAGAGTCCCGGGGTGGGAAGAGGGCAAGGTGGGGAGGGCAGGCTACAGAATTTTTAAAGCTGACCAGGTTCTCTTAGTATCCACCTAGCCTTGAGAACCACCTCTGTGGAGTCTAATACAATGTTTTGTTTCCCTAAAGTGTGATGTGTAGACCATTGATGAAGATCATTTTAACTGGTATAAAGATAAACATTTTATTTTTAATAGTCATGTATTCATTTTTATAGTTACCTTCTATTATATGGCCCATGGAACTTTACCATGTACAGTAGCAATTTAAATTTTTATTTAATATAAAGAGCTTTTAAGGTTGATTAAGATTTACTCTTTAAGCAGACAAATTTAAGGAACAATATAAAGTAAATGATACAGGAGATACATATTTAGGGCAAAAGCATGAAGGTGAGTGAGGTCTGAGAAACATTAGCCTTATGGAGAAGCAAAATGAAGACCTTCTGATGGATGAGCACAGTGATTTTGAGAATATTTTGTGGGAAGGATGTCCTGGGGGTTGAGCAACTGGGTGGGCGATGGGATTGTTAGTCCCTAAATCGGCAAAAATGAGGAGGAAAGGCATACAGTTGGGAATCTTCGGGGAAGACCATGGTCCCACAGCCATTCTTAGGAATAAGAAGGGTATCATGATGAAAACAGCGATCTCTGCATCTTCCCAGACCCCTCGTCATTTCCTTTCTCTAAGACTAAGCTTCTCCACCTGCTACAAGACTCTCCATTAGTGGCCACTCTGGAGTCAAGGAGACTCAACCAGCCAGGGTTGCCGTCCTGCCCAGCACTGGTAGCCAAGGTCACAGGTACACAAAGAAGTGAAGCCAGTATCCAGCCACTGACAGCTCCCTGTGCAATTAAAGACAGCTGCCAACAGACATGAACCCATTCACACTAAGTTTAAAGTAGAATGTATTTAGGAGTGAAATTAAGGTAGGACCTGCCTGAAATTTCTTTCACTCATTCATTCGTTCATTTGTTTCTGCATTTGTTCATTCACACATTATTTTGCCTACCTGGAAACCAATGTATATGAAGAATGGAGGAAGGAACTGGGAATGCATAACCTGATGAAGAAAAGGCTTGGAGGAGTGGACGGGGTGGAGCTGGGGGGATGAGAATGTCTCCAAATATTTGTAGGACAGCCAGAGGAAGGACTAGACAGAAGGAACACCAGCTGGCTGTTCCAGCTGGTAAAACTCAGACTCTTACAGGAATGGAGACTAAAGGGCTCAAAGGAAGAAATTTGCAGTAGTTAGAAGTGTCTAAAAAGTGGCATGGCGGCCTTGGGAGGTGATGAGTTCCCATCTCTGGAAGTACTGAAGCAGAGACCACATGATCACCCATCAACAATGCCATCAAGGAATTGTCACCGGGCAGGAGTTTGGATAGTTGAATGCTAGTCCCTTAAAATTCTAAGACCTTAAGATGCTTTCTGGAATGGGAGGTGTGCGTGGATGAAGGTAAGGGGTGAGATGTGGCTGAGCGGAAGGCCCTGGGAGGAAAGGAAGGACACTGGGAGAAATTGGCAAAGATGCTGGGTAGTTGTTACGGAAAAGGGCCTGGGCAAACCAGAGATTGAGACAACTCAGAGGGGCTAGTTTCAGACTTGTGTCTGCGTGTGAACGTGTGCCTGTGTTAGCGCATATTTCACACGTGAATCCAGGTTTCCGGTTTCCCCTGAAGAGATGCGCACAGCCCTTCCCACACAGCGGTGGAGGAGGTGGGGTGCTGGGCAGCAGCGCCCCTGTCGGTGAAGCACGCACTGTCCTTCGCACGTCCCCACCTCTCCCTGTTGCCTGGACTTCGTCCCTCCTCTGCATTCCCCACACGGTCCCTGAAGGCATTTGGGTTTGCAGCCTGGGTCCTGAAATTTTACGCGGGCTCTTTGGAGATAAGAATCACGTTCTTCATTTGGGGATCACCAGCACGGAGCCTGGGACTCGGCAGACTCTCAGTAATGTTCATCAAATGATTCTCAGGTGAAAAGGATGGCAAATCAGGATAATGTTAACAGTTCTAGTCCCCTTGCCTGGATCTGAACTCTTGGAGATGCTTTCTCTAGAGCTCTGTGCTTCCCACTAGTGGGAACGAGGCTGGCGCCCGGTTAAGCCAGGTTATCAGAAGCTGGCTACGATCACTTTCATTTTAATAAATCAACATGTAACAATTGTACAAACAGCACCCTCTTGGAACAGGGACTTTTAGCTTTCATTGCCTAACTATCCCCAAATTGGCCTGTTGGTCACATTTAAAATCTGATTATTTTTCTCTGAGGTTGCCCCGCTCTGCTGATTGAGTTCCTTTACCTGCAGGTATGAGAATGAGCAGCCATTCCGGAAGGCAGCGGAAGAGGAAATTAACTCTCTCTATAAAGTCATCGATGAAGCCAGTTCGACCAAAATGGATCTGGAGAGTCAGATAGAAAGCCTGAAAGAAGAACTTTGCTTTCTGTCAAGGAGCTATGAAGAGGTAGGTGGGGGCTGGTGGCCACAAGACAGGAGGGGCTCACCTTTCTGGCCGAGCTTCACTGCACAGGCCACGACAGCCTCCCTGCATCTCTTGCCCAGAGCTGCAGGCAACACGCCAGTAAAATCCTTCCAAATCCTTGTAGTGGGTGAGGGTATCCTGAGTCTCAAACTCAGACAGCTTCAGGGGCCAGGCTGGTACATAAATGGGCTCTTTGGAGATAAGAAGGTAACTGGTCCAAGCAGTAGTGAGTGATGGAACTGGTATTGAATCGGTGGGAACTTCCCCTAGACTTTCTATTTCAGACTTTTTTTTTCCCAGACTTTTTTTTTTAAACACTCTATAGGACAAACAAAATAACTCTGAAAGTAGATCTAGACTGTGGTGTGTACACACTCGTCAGTGAAATTAGGTCGGATCCCTGAGCGACAGGACTGAAGGGGACCTCCAGGGGTGATGTGGTCCAGCATCCCGCACAACTGCACTGGGCCTAAACCACCTCACACCTGTCACTGATCCACCGTCTAAAGTGCTTGCAGCTGAAAAAGTCAAAACTCACTTCACCCTGTTCACATGGGGAAGTTCCTCTTTTTGTCTAACCTTAAGCTAAGCAGGAATCAATAAGCCCACTTCCTCCCATTCTTAGCTCCATGGTTTGTCACCACTCTGACAGTAACCTTTTAAAAACCCCACCGTTATCTTTAAATCTCTTTCCACCTACTCTGACTTGATGACATTCACACAGTTCATCCTGCCACTGTTGCTCACTCAGTGTTGTTATTTTGTTATTTATTTCTTTTTATTTCTACTTTGGGTGGGCCTGGGCTTGTGAAGACCAGCCTAGGAAATGCATCCTGGGAAACAAATATGGCACCCACGCTGGGAGGAGCACCCGGGCGTTTGCGTGTCTCTGTGAAGCCCTATGTTTGGCAGCAGCAGTATTGCCCACGGAGCTGGGCTTCGGCTGGCTAGAATTCTGACTTCTCTTTTCCTCTGGAACTCACTGGAGGTTTATGTTGTCATTTTCAGGATGTGAAAATGCTGTACAAACAGCTGGCAGGATCTGAGCTGGAACAAATGAATGTTCCCATTGGCACTGGGCTGGATGACATCCTTGAGACGATCAGAATTCACTGGGAGAGAGATGTCGAAAAGAACAGAGTGGAGGCGGGAGCCTTGCTGCAAGCCAAGGTGAGAGGCAGGACCGGCATCCTCACTCTGCCCTGTGCAGGAGGAAGCCAAGCGAAGATGAACAGCAGCCAAACTGCAAAAGAAGGAATGCAACCGTTTCAGCCTCATCAGACAGAAAAGAAACGCGATTTAAAACAATAGCTTTTTATCTGTCTCAATGCAGAAAATGTTTAAAATGGTAATAATGCTGGCAAGTATGCGGAGAAGTGGGTGCTCTGCTGTGTTATGGGGGAGCACAAAGTAGTGTGACATCTTTGAGGAAGGGATTTGATCAAGTGTATCAAGAGTCTTAAAATGTTCCTACTTACCAGTTGAATGATCTGGACCCCATCCTAAAGATGTAATTGAAAATACAGGTAAAGTATACATCCAAATATACTCAATGAAGCATTTATTATTAGAAAAGTGAAAAAATTGGGAGGAAAAACAGATAAATGTCTTTTTTTTTAATTGAAGTATAGTCAATTATAATGTGTCAGTTTCTGGTGTATAGCACAATGTCCCAGTCATGCATAGACATACATATATTTGTTTTTATATTCTTTTTCATTAAAGGTTATTATAAAATATTGAATATAGTTCCCTGTGCTATACAGAAGAAACTTGTTTTTTTAATCGATTTTTATATATAGTGGCTAACATTCGCAAATCTTAAACTCTCAAATTTATCCCTTTCCACTCCCTTTCCCCCAGTAGCCATTAGATTGTTTACTATGTCTGCAAGTCTGTTTCTGTTTTGTAGATGAGTTCATTAGTGTCCTCTTTTTTCTTTTTTTAGATTCCACATATGAATGATATGGTGTTTTTCTTTCTCTCTCTGGTTTACTTCACTTAACAATGACAATCTCTAGGTCTATCCATGTTGCTGCAAATGGCATTATTTTATCCTTTTTATGGCTGGATAGTATTCCATTGTATAAATATACCACAGCTTCTTTATCTAGTCATCTGTTGATGGACATTTAGGTTGCTTCCTTGTCTTAGCTTTTGTAAATAGTGCTGCTATGAACATTGGAGTGCATGTATCTTTTCGAATTAGAGTTCCCTCTGGATACACGCCCAGGAGTGGGATTGCAGGATCATATGGTGAGAATGTTTTCAGTTTTTTGAGGAAAAATGTTTAGTAATAGGAGAAAGATTAAACAACACCTAACCATGCAATGAAATATCAGGCAGTTATTAGAAATG